TATACCAGCATGATCAGTTTAACCACGACAAACCTCTTTGTTCATATTAAGAGAATTAAATGACAAAGCAAAATTTGTAAATGACGTTAATTATCGTAAGCTAAAGCGTGCACTGCTGCACGACTAAAAGCCGGGTCGGCCATTAGATCATTCAGCGGTGAGGGAATTATAGATTCCAGTAAATGGACTTAAGCTTGCACTTAACTAAATTATCAAACAACTAGATAGAAATGTGTAAAGTTGTGTTGTTCATATTAGATTAAAACTACAAAGGATGCTGTTCAACTGAATATAATGATCAGTTGTCTTAACCCATACAAATAGTTTCGAAGAACGTTTTGATTCGCAATGCTCAAGTTACATAGGACTCAATCGCCGGTTCTTTTGCATTCTTTACATGATAGCAATTATTATTATATTCAAAGCCAAAGTGACTTCCATATGAATATTAGCTGAATCTATCAGCAGCTCTTTTTCCCAACAGATATTTACCTGATTGCGGCACTTGCCCAGACAACTTGTTGTTCAGTCTTGCATATTGTGGTTTGGTTTGTCTAGCTGTAAAGTGGACTTTGGATCTCGTGTAGAACACTCGCCCCGGCTAATAGAATTTGAAGGATTTTCAGAACGATAATTGTTGAAATATTTTTTGAGGACTGCCATTGTAAATAATCCTACATTTTTGCGATGCTCTTAAGGTTGTCAGTTAAATACCTTAGGTATATTTAAAAGAAAACTTCAAGACCGCCTCAACAACAAAGAACAACAATGATAAGGCAAGATAAACAAGCAACACATTAAACCGAGTAAAGCAAATCTAAAAGCGCGCGCAGGACCTATCCAGCGATGTGAAATAACAATATTCTCCGAAAAGGTCGGAAATAAGTTTGTTGAATTGAACCCAGTTTGATTTCCAAAGTTGTGTACCTTAAGCACATTTAATACCGGATAGCTCAAACCCAACGAATACCAGCGGAAACGTTTGACAATGAATCTAAGCCGGACTAACTTGTTGATTAATACGCTCTCGTATTCACTAGATCACTTATTTATCAGTGGTAGATAAATTTGACTCAGGTAGACATGACCCAGTATTTTTTGGAAAGGATTCAGTTGCCCTAAGGATCGATGTTTAAGACATTCATTTCTGGTAGGTAATTTCCGTTTTCTCGGTTTAGCTGTTGCCATTAATAAGCTTGCTACTTGTTTTAAATTGATGGCGAAATGCCTAATTTTTATTGTGTGTATTATGAGCACAAAAAGCTGAAAAACATTTTCTTTCTTAACCGGGGAACAAAAGATGTAAATGTTTTTAAAACATAATACATTCCCTTTTCAGCGAGTGAGATACCTAATAAGCTCAGAAGTTTAATTACTGAGCACTGAATGTAAACGTTCTTAGGAATTCCACTTAACTTATCAGATGAAGGAGATGTAACAAAAAATTCCAGTTAAACATCCGGTAAAAAGTGGTAATGAATAGGTTTTGCTGAACGTGACGCACCTAAAGGTTGACACTTTCTTAAACTGCACGAGGAGCCGGCAGCGGACGTAACCGTCTTCCACTGCCATTATTACATCAACAAAGTTAAAGAAGGAGTGGAACAAATAATTTTTTGAACCATGTTTAAGGAATGCTCTACAGGTAGCAGTACAACTCAGTAACTGAATATTAACCAAATAAAACAGTGTTGTGGGAAGCTTAAGAAAGGCCCTTGGTGATAACAGCTGTGATAAATACCTCTACTATTGTCTGCCTTAGGTTGATAATTCCCTTGGACAACACATGAGTAGAAAATGTGAGTCACGTTTGATTGCTTTAAAACTGAAAGAAAGGGGAATTTTACATCCACATTCACTCCCCGGGTGCTATCAGTGTTAATATTTCTGTGGTTTCCCTTACGTTCGTTTACATTTTCGATCTTACCTTATTCCTTTGTGGTCTGCACAGACTCTTTCAGCTCCAGCATGGTTGAGTGAATTCGTGTCCAGTCACACAGAAGGGAGTCATTAATCAGTTTGCAGACGGGAATTTTATACTTTAGTATTCAGTGGGTAGGACTTTATCACATAAATGTCAAGAATCACAGGCGTTCGGCAATTCGCTCTTACACTTAGGTATACAGCAGGAAATCACTTTTTTATTGAAGGGGACGATTGCACCATGAGTCTGACGAATTAAAATGAATTAGCTGCATGGGGCGAAAAAATTTCCGGTCGGTTTCAAATTCTGTCACGAAACGTACTCGAACGGCTCTTTAGCTCCTCGTGAACACTTGAAATAATCAAAATGTTGTATCTAGGCAATCAGTTGGCAATCAGCAGTTAATCACGAGATCATTTCTATCGGAGTGCTAGTAACTGTGTGTGGGAGTATGCACAAGTGGTCACCTTTAATTCTGGAGCTCGCACATCAAGTAGAGCAACTGAATCCCGGCGTTGTCGGAAATTGTTAGTCTGGCTGCTACTTCAATTCCTCTTTTATGAATTTTTCTTGTCACACATAAGAAAAAAACTGTGTTCGTTACAGGATCGGAGTTATCAAAATTCAGTTCACCGCCAGCGGTGAAAGACGGGACAAGCACCCGAATACTAAGATGGCCACTCTCTCGCAGAGGATAAGAATAACACTATTCTGAGGGTGGTCTGAGCTACTTGACCTGCACATTTGAAAATAGCTTATATTCAGGCAGTCAAGGTATATGTAAGATCCAAGAGAATTTGGTGAAATACAACAATAGAGGTTTAAGATGTGTTAAGTTCGACGAATTTAATTAAATAACCTGAAACATCTCCCGATAATTATGTCATGGAATTTATTGGGTTTGTATTTACGGTGGTAACTAGTTACTGGAGGAATGGGATGGG